GGTCCACATCATCTGAAAGTATTTGTGCAGCAAGTCTGTGCAGGGATGGGAAGCTGGGTGGAAAGATCGCTGCCTGGCTGGTCTTGGCCACGTCACTCAAACTCCTCGGGCCTTAGTTCTCTTTTCTGTAAAATGAGGATGGTGGTAAAAGGGGGATGGGCAGACCGGTGGAGGTCAGGCATGTGATGGTGCTTGCTGTGCCTCGGGGCAACAACTGTTTGCAAGGGACAGGAAGTCACTTACCCAAGGTCACCGAGCAAGGTCAAGCAGGAGCCAGAACTGGGCCCCAGGTCTCATGCTGACCTACGAGCCAAATAGTTCCTACCAGGGAGTGGGGAGCGTTCGGCCGGCCAGTCCCTCCTGGCTAGGAGGGCCTGGCTCTGTGCCATGCCCAGGGGGAGGCCACAGCGTCATGTTGGGATGTCCAGGCCGAGAGTCAGATTATAGCAGACCCGGAAAGAAGGCCTCGGTTTGTCTCTGTGCAGCCGAGGAGCGTGAGCGCTTGCTGGGTGGCAGGCACTGTGCTAGGCCCTGGGGATATACCAACAGCTGAGGCCCACCTGGCCCCTCCTTCGTGGAGATAATGGGGACTCCGCTGGTTGAGAAGACTGTCACCGCACATACAACTTAGTGCTGTGAAGGGGAGCACGTGGGACCCCAGGCTCGGTGGGCTCAGGGATCCAAGGGAAGGGACCTTGCAGCGAAGCCCTGAAGGAGCAGAGGAGCTGGTCAGGGGGAGGGGGGTGGTGCTGGGGAGGCTGGAAGGCTGGAGGAAGGAACTCTGAGGCCCCCAGGGATGTTTGGCACAGGGGGTGAGGCCCTGGAGAGGTCGCTGGGCCGGGTGGGGTCCTTGGCCTCTGTGCCATCCTGTCCCCCGAGTGCAGAGACAGGGCCTTATCCTGCAGGGGGTGAGGGAGCATTGCCCCCAGGCTGGGAGGAGCAGCCTGGCTGCATGTGGTAGGGATCGCTCCCTCTGGCTGTTCTGTGAAGAAAGGCTACAGGGAGGATGGTGGCCCCGGCTGCCTCCTTGGCCACACTTGGGTGGTGGGGGGACAGCATGGACAGGCCATGGCGACGGGCTGAGCACGGAGAGGGACGGCAGTGGAGGCACTAGGAGGAAGCCCCGGCGTGTTCCATTTATGGAGACGGGTACCCAGGGGGATGTGGTACTGTAGGGGGGACCGGAAACGTGGTTCTGGGCGTGCGGGCTGTGAGGTGCCTGAGAACCACCAGGAGGGGTACCGAGGGGGCATTTGGAGGTTCAGCAGGGAGGTCAGACCTGGAGAGAATAGGAGACCCATTGGCATCCAGGTGGAAGGTCAGGACTGGGAGGGGTGAGGGGAGGAGAGCACAGGCTGGGGCCTGGGGACTGACAGCATGGGACAGGGGCAAGGAAGGAGCCTGCAGAGAAGGGTCACCAAGCCAAGCAAGAGCCCCTGGAAGGTGGGCTAGAGGGCAGACAGGAAAAGACAGCCGTCCTTTGGATTTAGCAACGTGTGACCTTGGCAAGGACAGATGGCCAGGGAAGCTGAGTTGAGGGGCTCAGGAGTGGGGGTGGTAAGGAGGCATGGACAGCAGGTGTGGGCTGCCCTTTCCTGGCTTGGGCTGAGAAAGGAAGCAGAGTGAGCAGGAGCTGGAGTGGGTTGGGGTCCAGCGAGCCTTTGAGGTTGGCTGGTTGACTGGTGACAAGCTTGAACTGAGCGTGTGGCCCGTGATGGCGGAATGTTTCAGAAGGCAGAGGCTGTGGAGCTGCTGGGGAAGGAGAGGCTGATCCTGAGCCGGTGTGGGGGGGATGGCCCCACGCAGGAGGACGACCCAGCCCACACTGGACGGCTGGCCCATGCCTGTCCTTGGGCTGGGCCCTTTGGGGACCACAAAGCCGTCGAGCTGTATGAATCCCAGTCTCGGCCTTCAAGGGGCAAAGGACTCACAGGCTCTGGGCTGCTCCACCAGGACTGCTCTCTCTTCAAGTCCTGGGGCCCCCCAGGAGCCAGCGTCCTCCATGACGTGGGACCAGCTGGCTGCTGCCCACCCCAGCCCCGTTCTCTCTGCTTCCAAACCTCCTGAGCTCCCAGGAAGTCGCTGCTCAGGGGTAGGTGTTGGGGCCGGCTTTCTGGTCACCCTCACACTGCCCCCTTCTTGTTTTCAATCCTCTCCTGGGCGGTCGCCTTCCTCCTCACAAATCCGCCTGTCCCATCGTGAGTCCCGAGGACTTCTGGCCGTGTCCTGGGCATCTCTTCACGGCTTCCTCTCAGGCATCTCACACTCAGCAAAGCCCTAGGGGCCTGCATCGCTTCCCTCCAAGCCCACAGATGGAATCGCTTGAGCCAGCCAACTTGAAAACGTTGGTCTTTGTTTCTGCCTCCTTGTGACCCCCGCCCCGTCCAGACGACCGCCTGTCCTAGAACACGCACCTCTGGCAGGGACCCCAGGTCTCTCATCCTCCAGACCATTCCCCCATGGTGCCAGGGAAGCATCTTCTCTCTGAGACTTTATCTTTAGGACAACTTTGACCAAGTCTAAACTTCTTAGCACGCATCGAAGGCTGATGGGGATGGTGATCCAGTCCGAGCTGCCCATCCCACCTCATCTGCTTTCACCCACCAAATCCGTCCAGCCTCTTAACACCTCTTGCCTTTGCTCCTGGTCCCTGCCTGGAGTATCCTGCCTCCATCTCTCACCGCCCTCCCAAGCCTTGTGCTCCCTGGCAGGTTCCACACACCTTCCATGGTCAAGACACCCAACTCAAGGCACAACCCTTGAAGGTTCAAATGTTTTTTCTGTGTTTTCTGCACATAAGTGTGAGCCTGGGAAGACCACTTGTCATCTGAGCTTGCTATGGAGGAGGAAATGAGGGATCTGAGAGCAGCCCCAGGAGACCGACTCTAGCACCTGACTCTGAGTTGGCTTGAGCATAGGGTGGAGCCCAAATACAGGGGCGGTCAGAGTGGCGGTGGGCCTCGCTCGCAGTGGCCACCCCAGCGGGGTGGAGGGAAGGGGAAGGAATGCTGAGGGATACCTTTGTCATTGGAAGTTGGAGGGGAGGGAGTGTCAACGGACCCGCCGAGCAGGGCCGAGTGGAGGCCCCTGTCCAGGTGGAGGCCGAGCCTTGTGCAAAGAAGAGACCAAGGCATTCTCGCTTCTTTCTTCTCTGGCTGGGAAAAGGGTGCTCCATCTCAGAGTGGGTCCTGGGGGCCACAGAGGGACACAGGAATTAACATCCGGGTGTGGGTCGCTGGTTTGGGTCCAGGAGTCCCGCTGCATGAGGGTGAACTCCTGTCACCGGGAGACAGACATCCCCAGTTTGCCCATAGGGTGCTCTTCATAAGCGCGACAAGAGTCACTTCTTCCTACCAGCCCCACAGCCTTCACTTCCTCCCCTTGAACACAAGATGTCACTTTGCCCCGGTTCAGGTGGAAGTTGGCTCCTAACCTGAGAACAGGGTGCCTGCAACTGGCCGGTCGGGGCCTCTTAAGGAGAAGAAAGGTGGTTTTAGACAACACGAGGCCAAAACTGAGGTGACAAAAACCAGGACCCGTAGGGACTTGTGGACAGCAGCCCCATGTGTGAGAGAACGTGCGTGTATGAGTGTGTGTATACGGGTGTGAGTGTGTGCTTGAGTGTAAGAGTGGGGAGGTGGTGTGTGTGTGAGTGTGTGATGTGATCACTCTGTCACCACCAGCTGGCCCCCTCTCTTAGAGTCCCCTCTTTCAAGTCATCCTGTGACATCCTCTCAGCCATAAGCTGATGGCCATGCAGAGTAGGACTGAGCCCCAGCTGCTGTCCCACCTGCTCCCAGCCACCTCCCTGCCCCTCTGCACCTGCTCCGAGTTTGAGTGCCAGGCACCTGGGCTGGGACATGTTGTACAGCATGAGTGTGGGGTACAGGCAGGCCTCCTGCTGGGTGTTGGGGGCACGCTCAGCTGGCCGAGAGGCCACACCGCCCCTGAGGCACCCGTGCCCTCAGATGCCCCTGGCCTCGTGAGTCAGAAGGCACTTCCCCTGGAACCATACCAGGAACCCCTCCCTGGCCCCATCATAGACTTTTCAGGGGGGAGACGTGCGCATCTATGGCATTAGGCCAACAAGGCATTTTGATAAGGATCGTATGGAGTGAGGCTCGTGGGCTTCCTTCTAGGTGGAAATCACAGCCTTCTGGTTCGGGTCCAAGAGCATTGGTGGCCCTGATGCCCGGCAGGTGGGCTGGCTACCCTAGGAAAGGTCTTGGCCCTGGTGCTCTGAGCCCAGGTGATCCCTGGGAGCAAGGTGGCTAGAACCTGGGTCCCCAGGGCTTCACGGCTCATCCGGAGATGCAGTCGGGGAGAGAGCACAGGGCTCCTGGTTTCTGACTCTGAGAACAGGGAAATGATGGCTGTACCTCAGACCTCCCCCAGCAGTGTCCAGGTGGCTTCCTAGCCGACCGTTTTAGCGATCGTTACCCTTCCCGGGAGGTGGACAGGCTTTGGAGCAGGCAGGTTCGGATGGATCTTAGTTCTAGATCTTTCTGGCTGCGGGAGTTTGAGCCTCAGGCTGGCTCTTAAGGACTCGTGCTCAGAATCATAATTTAATTTGTGTAAAGTGCCCGGCGCAGAGTGAGCATCTGGCAAATGGTAGCCGCTAGAGCGTGGTCATTCCCTTCTCTCACTCGCGTTGCTGCTCTGGTGGCCCAGCGTGGCTGTCCTGTGTGGGGACAGGCTGGCTCTGGAGCCCAGGCCCTGCATGGCTTCACTTCCCGGCAGGAGGCGCGGGGTCTGCTGCGGCCGGATGGAAGAGAGGGGGCAGCCGTGCCTGGTCGAGGGCAGGGCAGGTGCAAGGGGTCCCTGGTGGATCCCCAGGGCGACTCCCCCACCCCTGCCCCACGTGGTTCTCTCTGGGTCGCGTCCTCCTCGCCCAACACACCAAGGGCTGGATGCGGCCAGGAAGCCTGTGCATCTTCTGAGGTGGGAACCAGCCTCTTCTCCTCCTTTTTTTCCTTTACCATGACGCCTGTTGCTCATAGGTACAAATCAAACGAAGAGTATGTATATGTGCGAGGCCGCGGCCGAGGGAAATATGTTTGTGAGGAGTGTGGAATTCGCTGCAAGAAGCCCAGCATGCTGAAGAAACACATCCGCACCCACACTGACGTCCGGCCCTATGTGTGCAAGCACTGTCACTTTGCTTTTAAAACCAAAGGTAAGAGACAGTCAGCTGGGGCGCTGCCCCTGCCCACCGTAGGGAGCTCCCCTCTGGGAGCCCTAGCACAGAGCGCAGGGGCCCGGACCTCTCCGCCTGGGGCCTGGGCCACCCCCACGGCCTGGGCTCCCCAGTGGCAGAGCAGCGCCTCCAGACTGGGCAGTGGCACCCCCTGGCTGCCCAGCCTGTCCTCTTGGATCCCACACAGCTCCTCCACCTGCGCGCCTGCCCCGCCGCCCGGAGGCGCTCTTGCACACCGTTCCCAGTTTTGATTTTTCTCTCCTCCACCCCGTCCTTCTGCATGTCTCCTCGGCCCCTTGCCCACTGATCTGGTGAGCTCCAGCATCCGCACCTGTCACCACCACTCTTGCGTTTGGAAATCCATTCCACTCCGAGCCACTCGGCACACTCGCATGGTCACTCCTCATGGCAGACTCGCCCTGCCTCCACCCGCCTCACCACTCAGACCATGTTCCTGCCCACCCGGCTCCTCTGCAGCTCTCGGCACAGCCCGCTTGCCCCCCGCCCTGCCCAGGCTGGCAGCCCCGACAGTCCGGCCCCAAGGCAGGGGCAGCACAGGCTCTGGCGGCCACCTGAGCGAGGAGGAAGGGCAGCCGGTAGGGGCTGGCGTGGCCTGGCCTGCTGCAGGCCCCCCGTGTGAGCAAGTGGGGCCGAGTCCGTGAGACTTGGAGCACGCTGCTCCCTGCACACTGCGTGGACTGCTCCTGCAGGCCGGGTGGGGAGGACGTGGGCACTCGCGCATTGCTTCCTGGTAGCTGAGCGGAGGGACAGGGGGACGGAGGTGAAGCAGAGGAAGGCTCGGGGCTCTCAGCGCCCCTGACAGCTTCAGCCTCTTGTGCTCTGCAGGTTCTTCGGTCAGGGTTTGGACGTGAGGGTCCCGCCTTCTCCTTTGAGCAAGTGGGGGGCCTCCACGCTGGACCCCGCTGGGGCCATGTGCTGTTTCCGCGGACAGAGCCTGAGAGCAGGTTCGGTTTTGCCTCTTGTTGACCTTCCTTCTGGTGGGGAAGCTGCTCCCAGCCAGAGAGGCTGGGCCGAACCCTGTGGAGTTCGCCAGCCTTCCTCACTTTCTCCTCCTCTTGCCCCCCCACCCCACCTCCGTGCTCTCTGTACCGGGTCTGGGGGGCAGTTTACCATGTCCCCTGGGCTTCCGGCCCCTGTCTGACCAAGTTCCATCTCGGCCGTCCTAACCCCGTTCACCGACCCCTGCCCTCCTCTGTCCTCTGGCCATCGTTCTCGCTGGTCCTTTCCCACCTAGGTTTTGGGTAGCATAGAGGCGCTTCTTCTCTCTTGGCATCTCATAAACAGTGTTCTGGAGGATCCCCAAAGAGGACAGACAGGCCTGGAGCTCAGCCCCCTGTGTCACAGGTGCATCCAGCCCCAGGGCTCTGCCTTGGCCCCAGATGTGGGCCCCGTCCCTACTCTGTCCCCTACAACCCCACTCCCTCTGGCCAGCGGAACTTTATGGAAGAAGAGAGATGGGAATGATTGACTTATGTCTTAAATAACAGAGTAAAAAAAAAAAAAAAAGAGAGAGAGAGAAAAAGAAAAAACCTCTTGTCCAACATCCTTGAAGGTAAAGAAAGTGGGTCCCCCAAAGCCAAGTGACTGTTAGTGCTCGAGCTGTACCTAGAACCCAGGACCCCTCCATCCATCAGGGCATCTCCCCCATCACCTCCCTCGCTGTGAGCAGATCTCCCTTTCCCTGGAAGGACTGGCTAAATCAGGTGGCCGATCGGGGGGCCTCCAGAGCGGGTCACAACCGCTGTCCCTGTTTCCAGGCGGCATCAGGATACCACCCCGTTCTGCTCTCAGCGTGAGGAGCCCAGTCCTGAGAGTACGTCCCAGCCCAGGGCCATCTGGAGCACACCCGTGCCCGGCACACAGAGAACCATCTTGGGGAGACTAGAAAAACCCATCTGGCTAAGTTCCCAGCCAGAGCATCCTCTCCAAAGAGGGGGCCCTATTCAGTTCCCCTTGTCTTTCTGGCGAGAAAGGGCCTGGTCCCAGGAAGGAACGCCTCGTTTCCAGAGCTCTTGTCATTGTTTCATGGAAGCCACGCCAGGCCTGCCCGCAGTGCCTCTGGGGTGTCTCTGAGCCCGCATGGAGCCCCGGGGGGGTGCCCAGAGGGCATTACGGGAGCAGAGGGACTGAGTCCCGGCTGTGCAGGCCTGCCCACCCTGCCCCGAGGCCAGGCCCAGCAGCCTGTTCCCAGCCAGTGATCAAGGAGCGTGCTGAGCTCCCTTCAAAAGCTCATAGAAGCTTCCAGAAGACAACATCTTCAAAGCCGAAGCAGTGAGCGAATCTGAAATGATGGAACCTGGACCTTTGTGACTGCGGAGAGGGGCCGGTCGGGGGTGGGTGGCAGCAAGTGGCAGCAGAAGAGGCTTGCACGCTGGGCATGAGGGAAGCAGCGGGACACTGAGGCTCCTGTTTCTCGGGGTGCCCGCGTCTTCCCGGAGGGGTGGGCCTTCAGCCGTCCCTCAGGAACCTCCGGCGCCTCCTCATCCCTGCCCTGCCCTCTCCCGCTGGGGCTCAGGCTGGGCCTGGCGGTCCTCAGGACCCTCCATCTGCACCCCCTGACTGCGCCCAGGCCCGGGGAGCCCTTCCTGTCCGTCTCTGTCTGCTCGTCTGTGTCTCCGTCTCCGTGTTAGACATTGTGGCACAGCTGGGGCCCCGGGGCGCTAGCCGAGGCATCTCGGGGGCCTTGCAGGGAAGGCCGCCAGGACGGCCCTGTGGCGAGCGGTCTGGGGGGTCCTCTTTCCTCTTCCCAGATGGTCCCCAGAGGCCAGCGGGGTGGCTGTGCCGCGTAGGGGCCCCTGCACTGGTTGCCGCGGGGTCAGCGACGAGAGCAGCGGGCAGGCCTCAGGTGGCAGGGCCTGCAGGGGCGGGCGGGAAGAGGGCGGCTGGCCGGGGAAACCGAGGCAGAGTCCTGGGCCGGTGCTCTCAGCAGAGGCCCCACCTCTCCTCCAGACACTCCTCCTCTTCCATCCGCCTGCCTTTCCTCCTGCATCCCAGGACTGTGGGGCTTCGGGTGGGGGCCGGCAAGGCTGTGAGAAGCTGCCGGCTGCCCCGCAGGCCTCCGAGCCTCTGTCCCTTGCCAGAGAAGTGGCTTCTGAGCCGAAAGAGATGCCTGCGCCCTTTGGTCCCCCTCCCTCGATTCACAGAAGAGGCCCGGGGAGGGCAAGCCAGGGAGGGTACCCCATAGGCCCCAGGGCGGCTCAGCCAGCCTGGCCTCCTGAGAGCCACCCGGCCTGTCCCAGCAGAGCCCCTCAGACACCCTGAGTGCCCCCCTGCAGCCTCCAGGGCCCACGGGCGCCTTCTCCTGGGAGCCCCCGAGCCCACACCGGAGGGGAAGCCATGCCTCTGTCCTCCACACCCAGCACATCGGCGCGTGGCAGGGTCTCGGCACTCGGTGACGAGTGGTGGTCACGGGGCTGAGGGTGGGGTCCCAGCAGGGGAAGGAGGAACATCCCAATGTGGTGAGCATCCGCTCTCTGCCAGGCTGCCACTCGCCTGCGCTCCCTCCTCAGCTTCTCCCAGTGCCCCCGAGAGGTAGGTATCACTTCAGAGTTGCAGAAATTGGGGCTCAGAAGGTTAAGAAACTCGCCCCAGAGCACACAGCTAGCAGGCAGCAGAGGCCAAACCCAAACCCGAAGCCAGCGAGCTCCTAGAGCAGCCTGGGTGCATTCTGCAGGCAAGCGTGGAGCGAGCAAGACCCCTGGAGCCCCAAAACCTGGGTCTCAATGGGGCTCTGTGCTAATAAGGGGCCTTGGCTGGTTCAGCGTGCTGGTCAACGGGAGCCCGCCCGTGCCCAGCAGCTGAGACAGTCAGTAATCGGATCTAATGGCATCACCAGCTCCAGGGCCCAGAGTTAGAGCAGAAGCAAGAACCCCACACACCCGCCACCCCGGGCCTGGTGGCGCTTGGATTACAGGGTCTGTGAGGCTCCTTCCAACGCTTTGCTTCTGCGATGAGGACAGCGTTGCCCATGTGTGGTTATTGTGCACCTACTGTGTGCTCGGCACCTAACTTGGTTGAAAAGGGACCTAAACCTTCCTGGCAGGACACATACAACAAATAATGTCAAAGCCAGAATGAGCGGTGTTCACAGTCCTCTGTGGTCAGGGGCTCAGGGGACAGTCGGCTGATCCCAGAACCTCAGGGGACCGTTGATCTGTCTGGCCCATGGAAGGCCCCAGCGGTCTGTCCCACCCCTTGACGTCCCACTCAAGCTCTACTGGCTCATGGCAATGAGGGCAGAAGCCCCCAATATTAGGTAGGGACCTTTGGGGACCCTCTGGCCTCAGGTATGGCTCTGCTTTCCCTTGGGCCAGCAAAAGATCCAGGTTTCTGTCTGGTGATAGGAAAATCTGAGTTATAGGATATAGTCACAGACTAGGAGCAAAGAGAAGGAAGAGGAAAGAAACAAGTCACCTTCCACCCCTGCTGCCCTTGACCTGTGTACCTCAGGGAATCCCAGGTTAAGGTTCCCATCACCCTCTCAGCAAAACCCTGCAAATTCCTTAAAATTCTCAGAATGATTGGGAAGCACCCTTTGGTGCACCCACGGGCTCTCTCCTACTTGCCCACCATCCACCCATCATCTATCCACCCATCTATCCATTTCTCCCATCTACTGGTGGTCTTCCTGGCCATCTCCCTTTCCATTTATTTTCTCGTCCTGTTCCTCCTCTTCTCACATCTGTCCTCCCACCATCCCGTCCTTCCATCCACCTGCCCAGTCTGCCCCGCTGCAAGTTGATGTGCAACCCAACCGGCCGCTGCCCCAGTCGCCCCTGTCTCTCTCCTCCTCTCCAGCTCCCCATCTGTGTATTAGCCCGTTTTCCAACTAGCCTGCCATTTACTGTTTTCATCTAACCATCTCCTCCAGCCTCTGTCTATCCGTCTGCTTATCTAACCATCCAGTGTCCCATCCATCTGTCCCTATTCTCCCTGTTATACTGTCACCCCATTTTTGCCCTTACCCCCCTACCCATCTACCCATCAGTCCATCCATCCATCCATTCACCCACCAGTCTCTCTATATATCTGCTCAAGTGTCCATTCTTCCCTCTTCCGTCCATCTACTCAGACTTGCCGAGGACCACGCTCAGTGAGACAGAGCACCTAACTCGGGGCACTGAGGATTATTATGTGAACGATCATGTGGAAGTGTAGCAACCTGCAGGGCCACAGTGAGAACATCACAACTTGGAGGTGGCCGCTGAGCCGGAAGGAGCATCCTGAGGCACCTGGCCTGCATCCTCCTGGGGCAAGCTGGGGTCTCTGCCTCCCCTTCCCAGAGTGTTCCTGCCCATAGAGGCTCCCGGCCTGGGACATGCTGTGCACGCATGGGAGAGACTAAAGGCATCGTTACCTTTTCCCCCCCGATTGCGAAGACCTGCTGCCCCTACTCATGAGCCGTGGGGCTGGGATGGCCGCTTAGGGCAGGGGCAGGGATGGAGTGGGCGGAGCCTTTGCCCAGCCCTCCCTGCGCATACCCTACCTGTGTCTGCACCGCATGGTGACCTGGGGGATACTGAGGCCCAGGACGTGACTTCTCTAAGGAAGGCTCGCAGCTCCCTGTCCGGCAGACTTCCCTAATCCTTCAGCCCCTTCTCCATTTCTAACAGTAACTTTGTCCTGGTTCCTCTTCCCAAACCCACTGGGCTGCCCCACACATGGCCTCACCTGGAAGGGCATCGTCAGTACCCACCCACCGCATCGGTGAACAGGAGCCCTCTGGGCATCCCAGCATCTGAGAAGGCCACAAATCCTGCTCCATGAGCGTCCCTGGCAACTGGGCCCCGGAGTTAAATCAAATGCAGGAGAAACCTATTGCACATGAGTTGTCTTTTTAATTTCTTTTTTTGTTTGTTTTTTTAACCAGCATCTCACTTCCTCATTATACCCTCTGCCCTCCCCCACCCACCCCCCAACCTCCTCCCCCAGCTCCTGAGTACCGTCCTGAATGCCCAGCCCCTCTGCAGCAGCAGCAGCTGGCAGGGCCCTGACTGGTCTTCGAAGCCCATTGCCTCTGCGAGCCCCGGGCGTGCCCAGGCCCCCCCGCCCTGCGGCCCCGCCTGAGTCTCTTCTCGTTTCTTTCTAGGGAATCTGACTAAGCACATGAAGTCGAAGGCTCACAGCAAAAAGTGCCAAGAGACAGGGGTGCTGGAGGAGCTGGAGGCCGAAGAAGGTAAGGAACCGCCAACGCCCCCCTCCCACTCTTCCCTCCTCACCATCTCCCCCTCTTCCTCTGCCCCGCTCCTGCACCTGTCCCCCTCGCCCTGCCTCCCCTTCCGTGTCCCCCCCACCTCCTCTCCCCCTCCCAAGCCCTTCCTGCCAGTTCTCCCACCTACTGGGAGATAAAGGTTAAATTCACAGAGAGATGGCCCCCTCCCCTCCATACACTTACAGTACGTGCTGTGCAGCCAGAGAGTTCGCATTACCGTCTACCAGGGAGGTGGGGTGCCTGGCACCTTGCAGGTGCTCAGTGAATCTGTGCTGAATAAACTAACACAGGAGTAATTGGAGTCAACATTGACTGATCACCCACTACGGGTCAGGCGTGTTCTAAACACACGCTGTGAGTTGTCTCCTAAATCCTCATGGTGATGCTGCGAGGGATGTTCTCTTACACACTCCACACCCACACTCTCACACCTACATACTCTGGGCAGGAGCATGACACTTTTTAGAATTTGGGAGGCTTTCAAGAGAGCCAGAGTCAGACCTGACAGCCCCTTGCCACCTGCCGATCTCATCCCACATCCCAGCACCGCACCCTGGCCAAAGCCCTCCATCAGCAAAAGGCGCATGAGAGCCTACTCCTGAGACAGCCCAGCAGAGCAGAAGGTGAGTCAAAGGCCCCGGCCAGCTGCAGCATCCAGGGAGGAGGCCAGAGGGACTCTGGCAGGTGCATAGGCAGTGTCCCCCCCATCCAGCCAGCCACCCCAGCAAAGGGAGGTCAGGGCAGCCAGAGGCATTCCCCTTGTACCCAGCAACCCTTTGACCAGATTCCTAAAATCAGAATCAGGATTTAGAGTGTGACAAAGAAAGGTGTATGTGTGTGTGTGCGTCTGCGTTTTTCTGATTTCAGGATCTATTTGCAGTCTTACAAAAGAATTAAAACACATTTCCTTTTAGGTGGAATAAATCCCCTTTACTGCACTCAACACAAAGAAGTTGGGGCTGTTCCCCCAAGATGAGAATGTGGGGTTAGTGTCCCTTAGGCCATTCACACTCGTTGTCTCACCACGTCCTCATAACTAGGGCCAGAAACTTGTGTTGCCCATTTTAAGTTGAGGAAAGTAAAGCTCAGACAGGTAAAGGCAGTTGCTCAAGGTCACACAGAAATGCTGGCCACACACCACCCCGGTGCCTGGTGGGCTGGACCTGTGGCACCTGGAGCCCGAACCCGAGCCCAGAGCCCTCCCTGGGTCAGAGTCAAGAGGTGGCTCACCCCACACTGAGGACCTGCTGAGGGACCCTGGGCTGCTCCCTGCCCCTCTCTCAATCTCTTTTTCCCAATGAAACATAAAAGGATAACCATACCCACCTCGTCTGCGGAGATGAGTGGTGCATTTCTTCTAGAAATAATTACTGAGCACCAGCCCTATTCCAGGCCCTCTTCTAGATGCTGGAGATTCCACAGTGAATAAAACATAGTTCCTGTCCCCTGGAAGCTTACATCCTGCAAGGGAGCAGGGCAATGAACAAATGTGGGATAGGGTAGGGGCGGAGGTTCAGTCTGCGAGGTGTGAGCAGAGAATGGGAAGGGAAAGCCGGGAAGCCAGATGGGGTCTGGAGAAGGGCTCTCCCTGCAGAGGGAGCAGAAGGTACAGAGCTCCCGAGGACCAGAGTGGGGGGAGATGAGCTCAGGGAACAGAAGCCATGAAGGTCAAGGGGTGGGCTTGGCAGGGCCCTGGAGTGATGTCCCGCAACTCTCAGTGACTGTGTGCGGAGGACGGTGGAGAAGGGGTGCAGGACAGTGGAGAAGGGGTGCAGCCGGAGGCAGTTATCAGGCCCAGGGCATGTTGGCCCAGATGGGGTGGAGGTGGGGAGAAGCCGTAGGGCCCTGGGAACGTTCTGTAGCTGGAGCCCACAGGTTTGGCTACCACACGGGGCGGGGTGGGGGTGGTGATAAGGATAGATGATGGCGTGAGGGAAAAAAGGAGCCAAGGATGAGGCCCAGGTTTATGGCCTAAGACACTGGAAGGACGGAATTGCCACTTCCCGTGATGATGAGGAAGATTCAGGGAGGAGGAGCGAGTCTGCTAGACACCAAGTGGCGCTGGGGACACGCCTGGCCTGGGAACGACTGCCTCCCGGTGGCCAGGCCCCTGCGGCAGCGAGGAGGTTGAGGAGGTTGGGCAGCAGCGCCACCGTGTGTCCAGCCCCCTCGGCGCCGTCGCAGGCTTCCTTCTGCGTCTCCTCAGTCCCTTGGTGGGTGGACCTGGGCGGTGATCCCAGCAGTGGACCAGCAGCGCCTTGAGGGGCGTGGGGAATGGGCCGCCCCGGCAAGGCAGGAGCCCAGCTGTGGGGGGCCTGGAGCACCCTGTTCAGGCAGGAGCCCCTTGGCTCCCATCAGCCCTGCCCTGGGAGCCTAGGGCAGGCCACTCTGGGCCTCTGCGTCCTCATCCCTAAAGAGGCTGTTTAGGAGGGCTGTCTTGACTCCCTCACCGGTAGTACTACCCCTCTGACCGTCAACTGTGAGATGCTTGCAACGGTGCTGGGGCACTTGAGATACTTGCTAAGTGTTACTGGGGCCTAACTAGGTGTCAGACCCTCACGATCCTCCTAACAGCTTCAGGAAGTGGCTTTTATTGCTCTTACCCCCATTTTACAGATGAGAAAACTGAAGGAGAGAAAAAGCAAAGAAGGGTAATAATGCTGGGATCCAAACCCAGACCATTTCCTGCTTCTTGGCATATAACATCATTTTTATGCTGGCAGTGTAATAACGCAAGAGTTGTAAACCTGAGTCCTGACTCAGCCACTACTCCCTGGTGATCTTGGAGAGGAAGCCCTTGCCCCCTCTGGGCCTGGATTTCCCCATATGTAAATGAGGGGTGAGGCCCGGTGACCTGCTGGGTCTGAAATAGGTCTAAGGCAAAGCCTGGGCGCTGTGTGTTTTGCATATTCACCCCCACATCCCTCCTGCCTTCCCCTGTGCTCCCAGCTGCCAGGAGACCTTGGCCCCTTGGTCCTTTGGCCCACCCTTCACCTGCCAACCCCAGTTCCACCCCATGGTTTTTGACCCACTGTTGTCCACTTCATGCATCTCACGGCTGCCTGCTGAGCTATGTGGAAGCATGAAGGCTTAGGCTCTCCAGCCCCAGGGCTGCTGGGCCTGGTGGAGTTTGGAAGCCCGGCTGCACCCGCCGTCCGAGTCAGCTCGTGTGTCTAGCTCTCTTGGTTGGCGGTGGAATGGGTGCTGGTGTGTCCGAGGGAAGTGCTGGGTGATGAGCCCAGAGAGGGGCCGGCAGGACCCAAATCCTCAGGAGCCTGATCGGTGGGCCAGACGTTAGCAGGGCTCTCTCAAGAGTCCTGATTGCCGCCCATTTTCAGGGGTGCCCAAACTAGACTGCTGTCAGGTTAAAAGTTGCCCAGATGCTTGGGGCTGCCCCCGCCAGAAGCCAGACCGGGAGGTGCTGCAGAGCCCTACTCCGCGCTGGCTGGGAGCAGCAGGAGCTCTGCAAGGGGAGCACGTCCTCTGGACAGGAGCAGCTGGGCCAGGACACTGCTCTGCAATCTAAGGCCACCTTAGTCCTCCCCCCACCCCGCCCCTCAGAGACCAGGACCTGCCACCTGCCAGATGCTCTTGCACCAGCCGGCAGCAGCCTGGCCACGATGGCAGATGCATGTTTAGACTGACCACAGCCAGTGCCGCTGGACCGGCCTGCATGGCTGCTGCGTCCCAGAATAGGATAGATTTCTTCTTGAACGTACGGAGTGGCCATAGTTACTTGAGCCATTTCTCTGTGCCAGGTGTGCATTTCCTCCTCCCAGTGCACCCCGTGAAGGAGGTGAGACTATCACACACTCGCTCGTCTGACAAAGTGGGGGGGCAGCACAGCAAGGTGACTTCCTGGGCTCCTGGGGGAGCCAGCACTGAAATCCTAGTGAAGGGAAGGGAAGACGAACTAAGAAAAAAGGCCTGTCTCGTTTGCTGGGGTTCAATCCCAGCCCTACCACTTATCTTTCCCGAGCAAGCTACTTAATCTTGCTTACCTTGGTTCCCTGGTCTGTAACGTGAAGATAAGAACAGTGGCGACCTCACGGGATCACTTGAGGACTAGATGCATTAACAACACGAAGGTCCTAGAACTGACCCTGGCCCGGGGTAGACGCAAGGCCCCTCTTGCTTACCGTGATTATTTACCAAATGTTCCCGCACCTGTCACGGCCCCCATCCTCTCAGCCCACTCTCAGGCCCAGCCTGCAAACAAGGACAGGGGCGCAGAGGGTGGCGGGGTCGGGGCCGGCAGTGACCCCAGGGTCTCCTGTGTCCACCTCTCAGGAACCAGTGATGACCTGTTCCAGGACTCAGAAGGGCGAGAGGGCTCGGAGGCGGTGGCGGAGCACCAGTTTTCGGACCTGGAGGACTCGGACTCGGACTCGGACCTGGACGAAGACGAGGATGAGGACGAAGAGGAGAGCCAGGACGAGCCATCGGGACCGGCCTCGGAGGCACCCCCGCCCGGCCCACCGGCCTCGCTGCCGGCAGACTCCTCACCAAGTCCGGGCCCTCAGCCCCCAGATGCCACCTCCGGCAGCCAGGCCACACGGGGCAGCTCGGTCCTGGACGCCGAGCGCCTGGCAGCCGGCAGCTGCTCCACGTCCAGCCAAAGCGCACTGTGCCTCCCCCCGCTGGGACCAGCCCCCTCGGGCCCCATGGAGAAGGACACAGGCTCAGCCCCGAGCGCCAAGGCTGTGTCCCCGAGAAGGCCGTGGTCCCCCAGCAGAGAAGCAGGCAGCCGCCCACCACCGACCCACAAACACTCACTAACCAAAAGCGACTCGTCTCCCCAGCGACACTCACCGGCCCGAGAGCCACAGGCCTCAGCCCCAAGCCCGCCGGGCCCCCGGACGGGCCCTCTCCCCTGTGGGTCTCCAAGACTCGAGCTCTCTCCTCTCACCCCCCGCCCCCTGGGGAGGGAACTGCCCTCCCGAGCGCATCCGCCCCCTGAACACAAGGGGGCCCCAGACCCAGGCCCCCCCAGACACTCCCCCACCAGGAGACGGTCCCCGGGCCAGGCCGAGTCACCGCCACGGTCAGCGCTGCCGGGGAAGTGGGCCTGGGCTGGGCCGGGCAGCCCCTCAGCAGGCGAACGCGGCCCAGGCTCGGGGCCGGCCCCGCGGGCTCTCCACCCGCCCGCGCCTCTACCTCACAAGCTTCTCGGCAGAAGCCCCGAGACCTGCGCCTCCACGTGGGTGAGTTCCTGCCCCTGAGAGGCCGGGGTGCTCCTGATGGGGGGGACACCGTGCACTCGTCCCCGAGGTGTCAGACCTGTAGCTTCACAGCCCGGCCAGCCCGGCGATTGCTGATAACATAGCAAGTGTTTGTGGGGTGCACCCAGTGCCAGGCACCAGGCGGGGTGCCCTGGAGGCAGCCAGTACAGACTCAGAAGCAGCGGAGCGTGGACACTGGGGCTGGCCTTGGATGCAGGCCTAAATGCTCGCGCCCTTCCCCTCCCAGGCCCCCAGCCCCACACCTCCAGCACCACTGTCACCAGCGGCCTCAGAGATACCACCTCCAACACCTTCCCTGCCAAACCACCAGAACCGTCCCTGCCCCGTCCTCCACGCCATGTCCACCGTCACTGCACTAGCAAGCCCCTGCCACCACCGGTCAGCTGCCCCGGTGTCGCCACATCAGCAGCCCAGTAGCATCCTGTCCCCACCACCACCATGCTGCACCATCACTGTCAACCTACCTTTACCTCCCAGTGCCTCCCCTGTCACCGTATTGTCACGAACCAACCCCCCCCCCCCCCCCGCCCATCCACTACCAGCAGGACAGATGATGTCACTCAGAGACTCAAGCTCCTCAAGCTCCTGCTGGGGCACGGACTGGGAATCTTGGTTTTTAATTTTGGGGTCACATGAAAATTCCTGGTGGTGGGAGGAGGTAAAGAGCCTAGAACGGGAGCTCACATCCAAGGGGAGAACAGGGTCAGGCCCGAGTCTAGGAACAGGAGAGGCAGCAGAACCAAGATAGCGGGGGAGGCCCACGGCACACAGGCACGTGGGGGGGTGCGGGGCGAGGACCGAGGGCCTCGTGGGCTGCCTGCCTCAGTGCACCAGCACAGGGCAGCACCCCGGGCAGGGAGTCGGAGCTCAGCCCCCACCCCAGCCCCCCCAGGACTTGCCGGGCCAGCCCCCGCCTCATGTCTAGGCCTCGGGGGTGTCCAGGAGCCAGCGCGGAGCCCTCGCCTGACCCCGTCTTGTTTTCTGACCCCAGCAGAAGGCCGCACCCCGGAGTCCCTCCTGCTCGCCCGGCCCCGCTCCCCCGCCCTCCTCCCGACCCTTCTCGGCCCCCCACGACTTCCACGGCCACACCCCAGCGCGGACAGAGGAGAACATCTTCAGCCACCTCCCCCTGCACTCCCAGCACCTGCCCCGGGCCCCGTGCCCCCTGATCCCCATCGGCGGGATCCAGATGGTGCAGGCCCGGCCGGGCGCCTGGGTCGGCGGCTTCTCGGGCGGCGGCAGCGACCTGACGGGGGCCCGGGAGGCCCAGGAGCGAGGCCGCTGGAGTCCCTCCGAGAGCTCGCCGGCCTCCGTGTCCCCCGTGGCTAAGGTATCCAAGTTCACGCTGTCGTCGGAGCTGGAGGGCAGGGAGCGCCCCGAGGACCCGGGGAGGACGAGCGGGGGCCCGGGCCGGCCCCCTGACCGGGAGCCCCGCGCCGCCCAGGTGCCCGCACAGCCCAGCCCCTGCGCCCCGCCCGAGGCCCGGCCGCCCCCTGCCCGCAGGCCCGAGCCCTGGAGCCCCTGCGGGGAGCCCGCCCCCCCCGCAGCCTGCGCCCCGGCCCTGGACCGCAGCAGCTCCGTGGGCTGCCTGGCCGAGGCCTCCACTCGCTTCCCGGGCCGGAGGAGGCACCTGTCCGGGGAGCCCAGGACCAGTCGGGGCTCCCCCGAGCCCTCAGGAAGTGGGGGGCCCGGGGCACTTCCACGCCAGCCAGAGGACAGGGGCCCCCCGAGCGCTTAGCCTCTCTCCGGCTGCTTCAGCATCTGGCTTCTGGTGTTCGGCAACGGCAGACGTTTCCAGGCCGCCTCCTTGAAGTCATCTCGCTCTCATGGGCTCCGTCTCCCATCTGTCCGTCTGTCCAAGAAGCTTCTGCTCCGCCCCCACCTGTTCTATCTTCCCACGTATGCAGTTACCTGTGCCTTTTTCTATACCCTTTGTTGCTTGAAAAGAAACAAAACACACGCACACATTAAAACACACACACACACACACAACCAACAACAACCCATGAGGAGTTTGAGGCTGTGAATATTTTGTGCTTTTGTGAGAAAGAGTGTAGGTGGGGCCTCACCCTGGGCCACTGCGGTCTGCCGGCCACCCGCCCCCTCCATTCCCCCAAGGCTGGCCAGAGGTAACCATTGGCTGAGGGACAGGGGGATGCACTGAAGGAGAAAAAAGCAAAAGCAAGAAGCTTTGAAAAACATATAATTAAATGTAAAAGCAAGCCCTCCTATGTACAGGTGTTTATGGTTCCTATTTATTGCCGCTTTATTCCACCCCAGCCAGTGGCCACCCTCGCTGCCGGGAGAAGGGCCAGCGGCCCGAGGCAGAGGGACACGGGCAGGGGGACCCCACTCAGCCTCCACGGGCAGGCCCAGAAAACCCCAGCTTGCTTTTTTCCCCCGAGGAAAAGAAAATGCCACCTTTTCTAGGATTTCAACACAAATAGGAGGAGGCGAGAGAAGGTAGGAGCTTGCTGGTCCCCCCGGGCTCCCTGATACCCAGGTGGTGTGAGCTGTGGGCCCATCCTCGTATCCTGACAAACTCCCTCAACTCCCCACCCTCAACCGCTCCCCTCCACCCCCCACCCCTAGCCCCTCAGCTGCGAAAGGAGCCCTGAATGTCCACCTCCTGGTTCCTGAGCACCTGACGAAGGCCTGGCTTCAGGGCTGAGCTAACAGGCTGCCTCCCTTGTTCTAGAAACTACCCACGAGGCCGAAGTGACAGGGCCCAACCCATAGGGGTCAAGATCCAAGGTGCACTGCCTCACCGTTCCTGAGGCTGGGGCTTGGGTTTCATTGTATGTTTGGTCCCTGGGGTTCAAAGGGCCCTATTTCTTCCATGGCGGGGCTTTTCCAGGGCTGAGCCCCAAACATTTATAGGGACCTGTTTCTGGGCCTCTTTTTGGCGAGATGGGAAACCCGCCCCCCACCGCCATCCCCACCCCACGCACCGTCAGGCCTCCACTACCCCCAGGAAGTACCCAAAACCATGACTGGTGGGAAGTGCCCAGGCCTGTTTGTTGTGTTGGCTTAAATCTCTTTTAAAAATTACACACACACACACACACACACACACACACACACACACACAGGCGCGCGCGTAAAAAGAGAGGATGGTGTTTGGAATCTCCCAGCCTCCTCAGATTCTCTTGACCTAGAAGAATTGTCCCTGAGTCAATTGAATAATTCTCCCAAGTAATCAGTACTAGCCAGTGTCTCCTTCCTCATCCCCATCCTCTCCCTCAAGAAGCTGCCCTGGACCCCCTGAGGCAAAAACCTGCTTTGTAAGAAAAATAATATGACCAGAAATTAAAATCCCAAGTTGAAATGTAGAACTCATGTTTGCCCTGCCCTGGGAGAGGCGAGTTTTCTCCCAACCTTCTAGAATTTATTTTCTTTAGTTTCTACAAGGAGGAGAAAGCACAGGGACCATGGCCCACCGGGGCCAGGTGCTGAAGCCACCTTACAGAGCAGAGACTCCCTGACCATCCCCAGTCCTCAGCCAGGCCATGTGAATCCTGTGCCTGGGGCCTCCCGAGCCGTGTAGACAGGACACCGGTTGAGGCCCTAATTCCCTCCTGTGCCAGTTCAGGGCCTTTCCCTGCCTGGCCTCTGCTGAGCAGATGGGCCAGCCCCAGGTTCAGCTAAGACACAAACCAGACAATAGGGAAGGGCCTCCCTGGGGATGTGCTGGGCTCCAGGGTGCTGGGGGTGAGGTTAGCCGGAGTTCTCAGCTGCCCGGCCCGGAGTCCTGGGCTCCTGTGTGCCCTGGGACAAGGCCAGCAAGCCCAGCCTTGACTGTTTGGGCCTCACAGGAAGTGGGAAGGTGCCCAGCCCCGGTTCCGGCCCCGGCTTCCCTCACCCTCACCTCTCAGCCCTACCAGTGGACACTTGTAACACTGGAGCCTGGGAGCTGGATAAAGGGCATCGCTCCAGCCCAGGTTTGAAACTCTCTTGGGCAAGATCTTCCAGCCCAGGAGGGGTTTCTGCTAGCCGAGCCCAGCCCCAACCTTTGGGGGTGGCCACGCCCCTCCCCCCAGCCATGCACACCCCCCCCCCCAACTCTCCTCCGTGTCATTTCCCTGTTGAAGAGCCTGGCCATTGAGCTTTCCTTCCTGGGAGACCCAGTCATGGACAACGTGGCCAGCAGGGGACAGTCCTCGCAGCCACTCCGGCCCACAGGCACGGGCAGAGAGGACAGGCACCGGGAGTCACCAGAGACCCATTTCTCAATGACAAGGACACGATGCACAAATAGAATCTGGCCAAAGGGCTGTTGCTCCACACCGATCCCCAGAGGCATGGAATCGATGCCACCAGCCTGGGACGTATGTCCCTGGGCCCAGTGCTAACCCCTTTTGCCAGACTCTCCCCCTGCTCCCCCGACCACAGGGCCCCAGCCCACACACACCTCTCCATAATGCGGAAAGGACTTCACTGCATGCCCTCCCGGAGCCCCCGTCCCACTCTCAACCACTCCCACCTTTGCAGTTTGTGATGCTCGCTACTGTCCCTGTTAAGGGGGACAGGGCCGAAACGGTGCTGGGTTTCGCCATAGACACCTGCTGGTGCTCCGTCGAAGTGTGCGGGCCGGTGGCTCCTCAGCCCAGGCTCACTCGGGTCCTTGGGTGTTGGCAGTGTGGCAGAAGCCAGATTACAGAGGGCTCACAGCCAGCCCTCGCCTTCTGTTGGGGATCCTGAGACACTTAGCCCCCAGGCCGGCCCTCCAGGATGCCCTCACTGTCAGCACACTCGTGGGGGTTCTGGATACTGACCCCGTTCTTCTCCAAGTCACCATTCCCCAGGCTCAGCCCCAGACCCCCAGCCAGGGCTTACACTCTGCCCACCCACGGACACCCTCCAGGACCCTGACAGCAACAAGCTGCCCCTCATTCCCTTTCCCATCACCTCCAACTTGCAAACCCAGAGGTCCCTCTGCTTCCCTCTTTCGGAAAAAGTCTGAAAGAATCAACTCCCCAATTCCTGTAGCCCCATTTCATTCTCACCCTGCACTTCTGAATAGGAACCAGCAATATATCTGAGCTGAACATGCTCTCTAGTCCTTTCTCCAGAAAGAAAAAAAAAAAAAAAATCCTCCTGAAAGGAAAAGTCCTGCCTTGGAGACAGATCTGCAGCATTGACCAGGGGAAGAAAGTTCCCGAAGGCCTGTCCTACAAATTCTGCTTCCGTGTTGTGGCTCCAGTCTGCTTTCCATTAGAAAACCGCTTCGGCACTTATGATCACTTTACTAAGCCTAGTGTTAAAAAAGAAAGAGAGAGAGAGAGAGAGAGAGAGAGAGAAGAGAGAAAAGAAACGTGTAGGCAAATGTAAGATATACGCTCTCTGTAAGATAAATATTTGCCTTTTTTTTCTAAAAGGTGTATGTATTCCGTATGTGAAATCGTCTGTAGAGAATTTCTATGTTCTTAAATGGCAATACATTCCAAAAATCGTCCTGTAGATATGTACAGCAGCCACACTGGGATGGGGTAGTTTTGCCTGTAATTTTATTTAAACTCCAGTTTCTACACTTGCATCTTGCAATGTCGGTATGGTATATATCAGTGAAAAAGAAACAAAACAAAACAAAAAATCCATGCAGGTCTAAAGCACAGAGTCTGATATACAAAAGGAAAAAAATGCTCAGTATTGATGTGTGTGACCTTTGTTGTAAATTACATCTGTACTGTGAATGAGAGGTTTTTACAAGTATAATAATTGCCTTTATTACAGCTCTGGCTGGGTGTTCAGCCTGAGGATATTTTTTAAAAAAAAGACACAGCACGTTGGAATAAATTTGAAAATCCCAACATAGCCCTGTCGCCTGGCTCGTGGTTTTTCTTGAACGCTGTAGAATGTCAGGGTTGGAGGGACACTCGGTGTATCGAGTGCTGCTTTCACTACAGAGACATCAGGCCCAGGGGAGGCAGGTGACCAGGCCAGCAGGACACAGCGGGTGACCCTTGTGCCCCTCGCTTCCGGGCCTGGCGAGGAGCACCAGAGAGCGCACGGTGTGGTCTGCGGTCTGGGTTTCCCGGGGCTGCCGTAACAACTTACTGCAGAATAGGTGGCTAGAAACAAAGAAATCTATTCTGTCACAGTTCTGGATACCAGAAGTCTGGAGTCTGGGTGTTGGCAAGGTTGGCTCCTTCTGGAGGCTCTGAGGGAGAGTCTGTCCCCACGCCTCTCTCCCAGCTTCTGTGGTTGCAAGCGAGCCTTGGTGTGCCTTGGTGTGTAGCCATGTCACCAGATCTCTTCTTCCCGCCTTCTCTGTAGGTCCCCCCACCCCTCAGCCTTCTCTTCTAAAGACACTGGTCATGGGATTTGGGGCCTACCCTAATCCAAGGTGATCTTATCTCCTGATCCTTCACGAATACATCTGCAAAGATCCTTTTCCCAACTTAACGTCACGCTCTGGTTCTGGGGACTGGGACACGGGCTGCACTTTGGAGGGCCATCATCCAACTCACTACAGAGTAAGACCTGGAATCGGACCATGACACAGCCTCTCACTGCCCGTGTGACCTTGGGCAAAGTACACAACCTCTCTGGGCCTCCTCCATTGCCCAACCGTAATGTGGAGGGTGGTTGTGGGGATTAAGTGAGGTGGCGTACTCAGGGTGGCTAATGGAGCCTCGAACATAGTAAGCCTTCAAACATCTCTGAGCAGGTGGCTGTGGGGGCTGCTGGGGACACCAGGGAGAAAAGGCAGGCATGGATCCCCCCACCTTTTGCATTCCATCATAATTTGCTGAGTGCCAGTGAGGGGTGAAGGTTGGATACAGCAGTGACCAGACAGTCCCACCCTCGAAGAGCTTACATTCTAACACGTCATTGCATGTACATTACCTCCTCGTGACGTTATTGCCTGTAAATTGCCTCCTTGTGATGTCATTGCCTATACATTGCCTCTTCATGATGTCATTGCCTGCAAATTGCCTCCCATGACATCATTGTGTGTATATTACCTCCTTGTGATGTCACTGCACGTACATTACCTCCTCGTGACATCATTGCCTGCAAATTGCCTCCCATGACATCATTGTGTGTATATTACCTCCTTGTGATGTCACTGCACGTACATTGGCTCCTCATGACATCATTGCGTGTACATTATCTCCTGGTGACGTCATTAATGACCCAATCACGTGGCCATAATTGCTGTGACAGGAGAGAACAAAAGCTCTCATCCAGACTGGGTCTGAGTCGTCCTGGAGACCTTTCTTGGAAAACACCTAAGAGTCAGAGGAGGAAGAAGAAGCCATGAGAAGGAGCAGCCCGGAAGTTCAGCACTGAGAAGCTAAGAAGCTGTTTCAGCACTGAGGGGATCACTGCGGACTTAGGGAAAGCCTGGCCTAGTACGGGGCCCGGTGCATAGCGAGCCCTTTGCAGGTACTGCTGCGTGTCGAATAACGGACAGGAAGCAGGGATGACAGATGCGACACTTTCCCAGGGGAGATTGGGGCTCCAGGGGGCATGCAGCCCAGGGAAGACTTGCAAGTGCTGCAGAGGGCGGGGTAGGGGGGTGCTGATGGGAAGGAGATGGTAAGAACGAAGCCGACATCTGTCCCCCACCCACCGCCCTGCACTGTGACCCTGTGAAGAGGTGCAGGGGACATCAGTGTGTCTGCTGGGGGAGAGGAAGTTGGGGGCGGCCCTGCAGAGAATGAAGTGAAGCCACCTAAAGATTACAGACTTGAGAAGGGGTGAACGACCTCGGAGGTGGGGAGGAGAAAGCTGGCCGGGGGACCAGGCCCGCTGAGGCCCGGGGTGCTGCACTGCATGGTTTCTCCCGAGGCGCTCAGCAGCCGTGGTGCAGTGCGGGCAGCCAGGCTGATGTCCAGCCCAGGGACAGAGGGACAGTGGGGTGCAGGAAGTGAGAGTATTGGCAAACAAAGAGGTGAGTTTGCCAGGGCAGGGAAGCAGATGGGTGGCTGATACAGAGAGAGGCCAGTGGTCAAGGGACAGGGCATCTGGACGAAGACAGAAAAGGCTGTGAGCTGTCCCAGCTCATTATTTCAGAGGCGAGCCATGTGGGCAGAGGACGGTCAGCCTCTGACGTGGCTGCTGAGGCGCAGGGAGGGAGGAGGCCGCTGCAGAGGAACAGGCCAGGAGACGACTGGCCAAAGTGTGGAGGTCACCTCTGGTCACTGCAGGGCTCGGGGGGAGATCAGGGAGTAAGTAGCAGTCAGGAGAGGGAGAGACAAGCACCCCTGAAACTCAGGGGCTGACTCAGCAAAAGCTTATTTTTTCCCTTGGCCACACTCTCAGTGGGGGTCAGCAGGGGAATGCTACTGACCCCCCACACACACACTTAGAGACCCAGGCTGATGGAGGGCATCTCCACGACCCCATGACCTCAGAGGCAGATGAAAAGAGCACTGCGTTCCCTTGCCCATAAATGTGTCCAGCTGGAAACAAGCCTCCCTCCCCTCACATTTCAGTGGCCAAAGCAAGTCACGCGGCCAGGCCTAAGGGAAGAGACCAAGATTACCTGGAAGCAGCCCTCATGACGGTCACACAGCTAGGACTTCCCGGAATCAGAAGTGCCCAGGAGATGAGCAGCTGTCGGGGCTGGCATGGGGCAGGGCAGGGCAGGGCCTGATGACATCGGCCTCAAAGATGCTGGATTTTTCCAGGTGATGAAAAAAACAAAGGTCTAAAAGAGACCCCAGAGGGATCCCTGGGTGGAGCAGCGGTTTGGCGCCTGCCTTTGGCCCAGGGCGCGATCCTGGAGACCCGGGATCGAATCCCACATCGGGCTCCCGGTGCATGGAGCCTGCTTCTCCCTCTGCCTGTGTCTCTGCCTCTCTCTCTCTCTCTCTCTCTCTCTCTCTCTCTCTCTGTGACTATCATAAATAAATAAAAAAATTTAAAAAAAAAATTAAAAAAAAAAAAATAAAAGAGACCCCAGAGAGTGAAGATGGCAGCTGGCATTAGAATCGTGGGGGTGTGCGTGAGAGCGAGTCCTTGTGAAGACCCTGGGCCTCAACCTAGGCGACTGGGAAAAGTCCCAAACAGCCCCAAAGAAAGAACGGCATTAGCATGTGCCTAGCATTTTGCAAACCTGATTTGTAGTCCTTCCGACAACCCAGCATTCTGGGGACGAGTTACTGTCCCCGTTTTTAGAGGAGAAAGGACCCCTACCTGCCGCAGGTGCACCGCTAGTCAGAGGCAGCTCCTCATGGAAGTCCAGGTTCCTTCCTTCTCTCCAACCTGATCTGTGACCCGAGGGGAGCCCTGGGTCTCAGACAGCTCCCCTCCTCCGCCCAGGAAGCAGTGGGACCAGGCAGGCCCACCCAGGCTGGGGCTTCTTCCCAGCAGCTTCCCGGCTTGTCAGCAGTGCCACCTGGTAATCACTTGGCTTCCCCGTGCCTGAGGCCACAGGCCCCGGGATCAACCGGCAGGTGCCCAGGTCTGGCTTCCCATCCTCCAGAGCATGAACACTGCATGCGAATTCTCTGCAGGACCGGCCACCTGCCCTCGCCCACCCTGCCACCAGGCCTCCTACAGCTGCTCTCTAGAGGTCACAAAGCACGTTCCCTTTTGAAGTAAGGCAGGATGGGGCCCACGCCCCCATTCCCCACATGAAGGGTCGAGCCCCAAATCACACCCTGGCCCATGGCAGGGCCGCTGATCTAGTAAGACCTGACCCAGAGCCTCAGGAGGGCTTAGGCTGCCGTCTGTGGCCATGGAGGTCTTAGCCAAGCTGTGCCTGGCTCCCCATCCAGGGTTGGGCTGATCCTGCCCTCACCCCAAAGCCTGGATGGTCTCTGGGCTCAGGACCTGGAGACCCCTGGGGCCAGGCCACTGCAGGCCGGACAGCTTCAGAAGGCAGGCCAGCCTGAGATGGGCATGAATGCAGAGAACCAGGAAGAAGTAGGGTCAGGGGAGGACAGAGGGCAGCTGAGAAAGAGCAGGTGGGGGCTGACCCCATGGGCTCATCACAAGGTGGAGGGCTCGTACCCCATCCCATTCATAGAGGAGGAAGACTGGGGCTCGGACAGGTGCTGCTGCCTTCCGAGGTCATAGTGGCCAGCGGCAGAGCCAGGATTGAAAACCAGGCCCTTATATTCAGGAAGTGGTTGGCTTCCTATGGAAGGGGGATCCGCCTCTTTGCTACTGAGCAGCCCTCGAATCTGGGTTGGGTTTGGGGGACCCTCGCACACATTTCCCCTGATCCCATCAAAGCCTCGGCTGCTTTAGGGAGACCCTTTTATTCATGAGAAAATTGACGTCCAGAGCCAAGGAGGGCTTGGCCCGGGGCCAGGGCTAGGATTCCCGAACCCTCAGCACAGCCACCTGCACAGCCTGCCCACCCTGCCCACCCCTCCTCTACCCCAGGCCCAGGTTCACCTGCCTGGCTCTCCTGCCCAGCTCTGCCTTTTTAGGAAAGGAAAAGAGCAGCCCCGGTGGCAGGCAGGCCAGTGGGCAGGTGGCCACGCTAATCCATCAGCTCCCGGCGGCTCTGGTTACCGTGGTTTGGGGCCCCGGCAGCCCGGGCTGGGAGTGCCAGCCCAGCCAATGGGTGCCGCCAGCTGAGCTACCCTGCCAGAGCCATACAAGGCCTTGCTGCGGCCCAGTCTCAAGCCAGCATAGGGCAGCCCCAGCGCCGGCACCCGCCCCGCCCGCGAGCCTGCCAGCCCAGCACGTCCTCGGACTCCGTCTAATCCAGCCTGGGAGTAGGCAAGGCTAGGGTGCACGTGCACCAGGCCCAGGGCTCCCCAGGGTCAGGAAGGTGGCACCATGAGGGCAGAGGCCAGGAGTGGGGCAAGGGCCT